TAAATATACTATACAGTATACACATTAATTTTTTGAATGAAAAGTACAATACATAACTAATACCTATTTGTAAAAAATATTTATATACCTAAATCGTTTTCATATGAGTGATAATGAAATCTGGGGRTTTTTATTCCGGGATTCTTAAAAGCATATATTATAGAATTACACTTAAGCACCCGTTCGCAATAAATCTGACATAACAAAATATACTTTCTTGTAATAATACAATAGTATAATAATATTATTGCTTTTAAAAATATGTATTTTCTTTGAAATTTAAAAAATTATTTGAAAAATGGCCTATAATTTACAAAAATAGAAATTCAACACTATATACATATATAATATATAATATGAAGAAAAAAAATTTAGAAATTATATCTAAAAATAAAAAAAATTATTTAGATAATATAATATTCTTAAGCAGGAAGGCATGAAAAAAGTCTTTAGTTTAGAAAATATTATTGTAATGGTTGAAGGGAAAAAAATACATAAGTCATAGGTCACATTATGCCTATTTGATATTTCTAGCTATTGTATTAATTATTCGTTTATTGGCACAGTAAAAAGGGTATATTGTATTAAAATGTTTATTTATTACATAGATACATGCACTTGCACCTTGCAGAATCACACAAAAATAACGTATAAATACGAAATGATTTTCCGGGAAGTCATTCGAATCGTCTGATTTGAAAACACATTAAAATAGACGAAACATTTAGAAATTAACAACTAGTTGAATCAGAAACAAGYAATAAATTATAAGTTAATGATTAATTTATAAATATATAATGTGATTACTTTTTGTAAAGCTCTTGCAATTAATTTATACAACCGAAAATCTGGTGACGAATTTATACTGAAGACAACAAAAATCTTTTGAGCTTAAATTAAAAAAATTTAAATTGTTGGTAGACATTTATTTTTTAACAATATTATTTTAAATACGTAACAACTTTACATGTTTACGACATAATATCAAGTATATGGAATATATAATGTAAACATCATGTTACATAGTTCATAAGAAATCGCTGGTACAAAAGACACTAAAATGTATAATTCATAAAATTATGAACAATAATAATACAACAATATTATAATGATCATTATTGGTATTTGATTTTAATTTATTACCATTAATGTAGGGTTAGTGAAACAAATGGCTGGTACATATACTGACCTTATCTATTAAGTCGTATGATCTTATTGTACGTGATGGTGGAMWCGGAAGTATTTCTGGGGGCCAATTCTTGAATTCGTGATATATTTTATCGTTCGCGATACATCCAATTTATTTACTTATCAATTGCGACAAAATGTTGTTCGTGATAAATAATTTGTACTATCGAATGAAATACGATATAAATATATAATTTTATAACTTGTTTTTTTTTTTTTTTTTTTTTAATTCTTTTTTAAATGAGTCTTTAAAAAAGCATTATAGTATGTAGTAGATCATATTATATTCTGATCTACCTTTGGTTAAAGTAGCTAATTGCCATGAAAGAGATTTTGAATCAGGTTTTCTAGCTGCTTCTATTATAGAATTCACATTATTCATTATTGCAGTATCACGACGTCATCACATTAAATTATTATAAAAAAATTGAATTCAAGGTTAATTGTCTATAGTCTATCTAAATATTGTAAATACTGTGTATTATTTTGTATTACATAATACTGTAATATTATACTAACGTATGTTGGTAGCCATTACCCGGTAAACAGATAGGTAAGTATTTATAATAAGTTTGGTTTACCTACAAGTTTTTTTTATGATTATTTCAATTGTTTGAAAAGTGATACAGACATTGCAGTAGTAAATATGTAGCACACTTAGTGTAMCTAGTCAGTCTGCYGATAGAATACTGACATATTACACTAAAAAAACTATGAATATTACATTTACCACACTCGCACTCGCTGTACTTATTCTTACTCGGCCTGTAAATAAAGAGGCCTATCATTCACCACGTGAAGAAAAATATCCTTTTTTGAATGAAGTCCATACATGATAATAATAATAATGCTAAAAATGTTATGTAAATTATAATTTGTACCTACATGTTTTAAATTTTTTTATATATAATATATATTAGGTAGGTACCTACTCTCCAAGTTACCTTACTTAGATATTTGGTATAACAAATTTGTATTCTACATTTAAATATTTATTCATAAACATGTTTAGATACTATAAAATAATTTTATAGAGTGCCTATATTAGTAAGATAGGTATCAAATAAGTACGTAAGTACGTTTTATACGTGTACCTAATACATTAAAAACTTTAATTTTTTATTAATGTTAACCGTTGATAGTCAAAAATTTGATTTTATAAAATGATATGATTTATCCAAATACAACACCACGTAATTTGGTATAGGACAACTTGGTCAGTCACAAAAATAAAATAAAATGGAATAAACGATGACTGGTATTATGTATCTATATATATTATTTAAATTTTTAAATTTTATTTATTCTTATAAAACTAATTAAGATTTGGAATGGAACTTGGTGAAATAACTTAAATATAGCTGTTTTACCGCAATTTCTAATTACATTTTAAAACTGACCCAAGTAACCCCGATGGTCTGTACAAATAGGCTGGTTTATATTAAAACTAATTTTTAATTGGTGAATGGTTAATAGTAYGATAGTAAGGAGGAATAATAATTAATGGCTTATACTGATATAAATAGCTGCATATTGCATACAATACCAATATATTACATTAATTGTCGACGTTACATACTCAACTAGTTAGTATGTGTAGATGCATTGTATTTTATACAAAATCGTTTAATACTTCAGCAAATAATATATTAAATTATCATGACTTGTTGACATTAATATGTTTTATAAAATAACTCAGACACATAGTATTTACTATTCTATAGGTACTCCTCGTCTAACGCGTTTACATTTTGTACATACATAGTAACTACTTATAACTGTGTGTTAATACTAATMCGTATCTAGTAATAACTAACAACAAGCTATATACTTACAGTTTAGGTTCGTGGGTACCTGAAGTTATCTATTCACATCATACCTAAAATACTGAAACATAATTTATAGACTACAGCAGYTTATGGGTAATACAAATTGCATATTATAAAAATGAGACCACCCATGCCGATTATGCCTTTATATACAGTGTCTTGCAAGTGACGATTTATATACTGGGTGATTCACTAATATAGGTATGCTGAGTCTAATTTTTTCTTTAATAATAAATTTATTCAAATTCTGATTTTTGAATTTTTCAAATATACTTAGAGACCATATTTTAAAATTTTTGATATTGTTTGTACTACTTAAGGCGAGTGTTCTGTGGCAT